TATATATATATATATATAATTTTACTATTTATAGGAACTTCATTCTACATGCAAAGCAATGCAAGAACGAGTTGTTGATTTAATTGGAAAGTTGGCTCATGATGAAATGACAGCAGAATTATTACGTATAAATGATGAATTAAATAATTTATTTTTGCGTTATTCACGTTATACAAAAAACAAGGCTGTTGCAGCAAGTACTATTTTGGCACAAACAATTGGTCATCCACACAATATAGATTCTGCTTTATCAATTAATAAACAAGAAGCTGATTCTCTTATTGACTTATCTGATGAAACTGATGCTTTGGAAAAAAAAATGACAGAAATAGGTAATTAATGACAGAATAGATATTATATTTTAATACATAAACAACATTTGCAATTCTTTAATTTAATTAATTACATTATATTAATTAAATTATAGGTATATCTGATAATATTGAGAAAAATAGAATAGACAGAAAAGAGAAAAAAGAAGGTGATAATGATGAATTTGATATGTTTGCACAATCACGAAATACATCTTATGAAACTATAAAGAACAGGTTTTTAATATTAAATTAATATTAAATTAATTTTAATTTTTTAAATAATTATATATATATTATATATATATACAATTATTTTATTAAATTTTTATTTATTTTTATTATAGTGGTAGCAAATATGAGGATAATTTGGAGCAGGTGAGCGGAGGAAGTCTCAATACAGCGATTCTCAATCGCAATAATCCTAAGTATCCCCAGCAGACTGCTTCTACAGTTGCTTCTACTACCGCTACTTCTGTGCGTAATTCCTATTACACTAATAATTGCTAAGCATTTAATCAATATAAGTACTAAAAAAATAAGATTATTATAAATATTAAATTTATCAAAAATTTAATTATACATTATCATGCAAAAATTATATCTTTGTATAATATATATAATTTAGTTATGAATTTGTACTATGAAATTAAAATTATCCTGATAAAGGTAAGAGAAAAAAAGAATATAATATTTATTAAATTTGTAATATTGAAACATATTCTTATTTATTTAGTAGATTTAATTAGTCACTGCTTTTATTGATTGCTTTCTGCATGAAGTAAATTAATTTTTTCTTATGTTTCCTTTTGCTTTATTTTTGCCTATATTATGCATATATTTACATATATTTTTTATTTTATTTGATATGTTTATTTTTATTTTTTTATTTTTTTTAACATTCAGATGAACCGGGAATCTGAATTTAATGAGATGGCAGCCTGGTTAGATCATACGGTGAGTTATTAATAAAAATTAATTTAAGAGTAATATAATAATGAATATTATTTTCTCCAATGTGTTTATTTTAATAAATTAATTAAAAATATTAAATTATATTTAGTAAATATTGAAAAAACTTTTATTCTTTCTGTTCAGCCAGGAGCACATGGTGATCAAGAATCCTTAACATCGTCCGAGTTTGAGCGTTTCTTAGCAGAACGAGCAGCTGCGGCTGAAGCTTTACCAACATTACCTGCAACTACTACTAATACTGGAAGTACTACTAATTCTGAAAACTCTAACATTCAACGCCAAATTAATAAGGATCAAGATAAATCTTTATTTGCTCTTTAAATATAATTTTCATATTTACATTCTAGAAAACAGATGGAAATTAAATTTGTTCTGTTTTGATCATCAAATATACATTCTAATAAATCAATGCTTCTAATAATGATTCTAATATTAGGAA